CCCCCCATTCCCGAGGCATGGGTGGCGCGGAGGGGGAAGGAGGCGAGGGAAGGCCGGCAGCGCCGGCGAGGGGAAGTCGAGGCGGGACGGCAGCGGCCGAGGGGGCGAGGCAGGGAGCAGGTGGCGCGGGGGTGGGGAGGAGTGGAGGGCGAGGGAACCCTACCGGCGGCCAAATGGACCGCGTCGGTGGGCCTGCGGACGCCTTGGGGCGAGAACGGGCCAGGCGGGGCCCATCCGGCCTGCCAAGCCGGCCCACCGAAGCCACCGAGGACGGTCGCCCATGGGCCGCACCCGCAGTCGCCGTCCCGAGAGGGGGCCCAGGAACCAGGTCCGTGGGCCGGCCCAATATCACCGCAGCCCGAAACGACCGCCCTGGAGTGACCAAGCGGGGAGCTAGGGTTTCCCCGAGCACCACCGCGGTGGCCGCCGGCGGGGGTGCACGGGGGCGGCGAGGGGGAGGCGGGCCGGAGGGACGGCCGTGGGGAAGGGGTCCGGCGGGCCGACCGGAGGGGAGGAAGGGGCGGAAGGGGTTCCGGCAAGGAGGTGCCGGAGCGAGCGCGGGCGGGGACGCCGGGGACGGGCCGGCCGGTGCAGGCGAGGTCGGAGCCGAGGGGAGGCCGGCGACGGGCGGGGGCTTCCAGGAGGCTAGCGCCGGGCCCCGGTCAGCGCGGCCGGCAACTCCCCAGCTGCCAGCGCGACGCCGCCGGGGGGGCAGCCCAGACCCAAAGGCAGTGCCTTTCAACACCCGATCCGGGGAGGCGGCCGGCGGGAGATGCCGGCGCCGGCCCAACCCGCAGGCGGCCGATCTCCCACCCCTGGGAGAAGGGCCGCCGGCGAGGTCAGGTGGCGGCCGTGGCTGGGCCTTGGGGGGGACCCGATCCCGGCAAACGACGGGGCGGCCGACAGCCAAGTCGTCGGCCTCGGCGATGTCAGCCCACAGCAGCCGTGGCGAACCGGGAGGGGCCGGCGAGGAGGGGGCGGACGCCGGCGGGGGGGCGGGGCTCGAGGGCGGGGACGGCGGAGGGGGCGGCCGGGCGGCCACGGCGCCCGCGCCGTCGGGGGCGTCGCCAGTCGCCAGAGCGTCCATCCTTTCGTTGGCCCAGGAGAATTCTACCCAGCCGCCATGCGCAATGAGAAATTTCGAATTTTCTGCTCTGACCTTGATTACCAAAAAGGCTTTCGCCCCGCTTTATAAATAAAGCAAACCACCAAGAGCACACATACACGGACTAGTCCAGAACACACACACCCAAGTCACACAATAAGAAGTACAAAGGTTCTGCTGAGGGCACAGCTCAACAAGCCCAAAAACATAAAAAAGGAAGCCGAAGAACAATGGTCTAGATGTGATGATATGAGGTACTTGCAAATTTAGGTCGGTGTCCTGAGGATGTCTTTTGCTCTTCCACAATATTTAGGTACTGCAATCACTAAAGATTATTAGCAGTTACCATGGCAATGACAAATGCTGATTGGTTAACGATTAGTTTGTTGATTGTTTCAAAAATAGAATCGTCGCATGCCGATGTTATTGATTTGATCATTTTTTTGGGTGTTTCATAAATATGCTGGTAATTATTGGTTTGTGATAGGCTGATAGTTGAGAAACTGACAGATAACATATGTTGTATGAATGTACATTCTAATAGTTGTGGTGCTATTTTTGCTACAAAATATGTTATCTTGTCCAGGGCCATTCAGAAGAAAATAAAGTTCATTTTAACATTTATGACTACAATCATTTAGTACTTGTATTTCCCACAGTTTAAGGCCTTATGCATGGAATTTATGTATCTTGCAGTCAGAAGCTCTTATTGAGGGTTTGCTTCAGAATGGTAGGCTAACATTCGACCAACTTGTGGGACGAACAATCTCTAAAGTGCCTGAAGGTATGTCCATTTAATTTGTTGAAGTTGCTACTGGATCATCCACTGTTCTTCTTATGATGGTATTCTCTTTCCTTTTTTCTCCATAGTCTTTGATATTTGCCAGTGATAGTGACTATTACTATTCCCTGATAATGGGTCATCCATGTTCCAGGCACCATCCGACCAGCAAGGGAAGAGATACGAATGAACTTCAATAGACTTGTGTATGCACGTTATGTGGAACGTTGCCCAAAACCTGAACCATCTTTTGATCCACTGGGAGATGAACAGCCTACATCTGCGAGGAGAAGAGTTCTGAAAGTATGCAAAGGGATTCCCTGTTATGGACATTCCTGGTCATTTTAATAGGCACCTAATTACTTTAATAGTTTTCTACTGTAAACTATTACATCAGATAATGCATGCAGAGATTGGTAGAAGTTGACTAGGCTGGTTAGTTTAGTACTCTGGTCTTGCAATTAGACATCTTAGCAAAGGGGTAATTAGCTAGTTCAGTGGTTAAGGAGTTTCGGGTCCTTTCTATGCCAGGCTGTTGAGAAATCATCTTACTCTTAGCTCATGAGTACACTTTGTGAAAACTGGTTAATTACTAGTACCAAGATCTCGATGCTTTAATAATGTATTACTGTTCTTTCTTCAGTTGTTATGTTCTATGCATGGTGGTCGGTTACATGACCTGACAAATGTATCTTTGGTACAGACTGCCGAGGAGGTTCTTTCACTTGAGCAGAAAGTTTTCAATACTGCAACCCTTTCTGGCCTAGAAAGATTTTCTGAGATCCCATACAGCATGGAGGATGCATCAAAAACAAATGATTGTCCTCATAACGCAGTTGTTGGTGCTAAGGTGTTGTACTCTTTTTACTTATCTTCATCACCATGTTATGCAGTGACTTCATGTTATGGGAAAAATTGGTATTTGTTGTTCCGGCCATCCTATTGTTTATCGAAAAAGGCAAAGTAACATATGTAGATTGTTTGTTAATGGCAAAGGCATTTTCTGAAAGTATTGGTAGGAACTGGCAAATGCAGCAACAATATGCAATGCACTGCTTTTATCATCATGTAATTCTGTGTCGTTATTTCATCAGCGGAAACACGGAGCCTTTGAGGTAGATGAAGAGCTCAACTCAACGATTGCCGAGACTGAAGTACTTTGGCGGGTAAACTTTGAGAAATTTATATTCTGTCTAAAGAAGAAGGTATGTTGCTGTTATCATAGCTACTATGGGTAGCATATTTATGTAGGTGTCTTCATCTTCTTTTTATCTGCAGCCAAAGTGAAATGAAATTTGTACAGTAAAAAGAGGACAACTCTAAGAAAAAGAATGTACTTCTTTGTGAACATATAAGAGCTTCTGCACTATATTGAATCAATATTGGTACATAGCCATGGCACCTTAGTGAAAACCGCACACTTTTTACTCTAACATGTTGCGCCCCCGTTCTTCTCTACTCCTACCCAGTCATCTCTCTCTCTCTCTCTTTCTCTCTCTCTCTCTCTCTCTCTCTCTCAATACGACTGCCGCTGGTATATCTCCTGAAACCAAGCTGATCATGAACAATGGAAGCACAAATCCAGTCAGTGATCTTTGGGGTCGATGACATCTTGACAATGTCCTTGACCATGGAGATGATCTTGCAGACAATACCGAGGAGTTTTGTGGCGTGGGGATGAGTCTGAGCTGCTCCTCAGAGGGGATGGGCCAGAGCTGTGAGCGACAACAGAGCCAACCGAAGTGGCAGCCGGCAGCTAGGGTGGGCATGCTGTTGTGTGAGCCATGAAGTTACTCTCTCATGCTGTGGTCGGTTTCAACTTAAGAGTTTGATGCTAGGATTTATTTTCCAGCTTGAACTTATCATTCCATTGTATAATATGGACTCAGTAGCTTCTCTGGCATCAAGCCCTAAGGGTTACCTGTCATGTATACGACCGTGTTGTTGTACTGCATCTTCCTTTTGTGCCAAAAATAAGCGAAGTTGAATGAGGAATTATTCACACAGCAGCACCCCCTGCCCCCACCCCCCATACACCCACAAAAAGATAGTAGAGAGTGCAGATTTCTCATTTTGATACATATTTTTATTTGTGTATGCATGAATGGTGCAGCTAAAGGAAGCATGCAATTCGACTTTGTTAATGCCCACTTCATATTTTCCTGCTTGTATTAAAGTTTTGTGCAGACCGAAAGAAGCCAAAGCTGAAGGTTGGCACACATCCTATCTGGGAGTCATTTTTCGAAGCTAACTTAGTTGACAGGGATACCACCAACTCTGGTAGTATATCCTTTAAATAGTTTTTTTTTTGAAACGTTATCCTTTCAATAGTAGATCCAGGAACACTGCAATTTTATTTTATGGCTTTACGTTCGCCTTTGGTCTTTTATGAACATAACTATTTTTGGAACCGCATTCCTGTTTTAAATTCCATCGGTTCTGGTCTTGCCTCTTGGTGGTGAGCGTTAACTAAGAAGTGCTAGTTTCTATTTGAGTTTGGATATTATCATGTGAACCTTCAGATATGAACTGTTATAGTTCGGAAGTCAAACCTTGCCACTACGCGATGGGTGCCAACCTTCAGATATTTTATTTTGGATTTACAGCTTGGCATGGTCTTGAATGAGCCAGATTAAGGAATGACGATTGCTTAGATCCAGCCGGGTATACCTGCTGCTAGGCCAATAGTGTCCCCTTCCCCTCGCGTCGCGTCCGCGAGCGACCGAGGGGACTCACCTGCCGCCGGCCTCTAGGCCTCCTCCTCCCCCTCCTTCCCCTCGCCGCCGCCGGTCTGCGCCGCCGGGCAAAGCCCGGTTGGTGGCGGCGGCGGGGCCTCGTCTCTCCCTAGCGCGGCGGAGATCGGCGCGGGCCGGCGTCCCTGCGTGGAGGCGCGCTGTTGGTCCGAGGCGGCGCGACATCTGGGCGGCTCAGCGGCGCCCTGGGCTTCCTTGGAGGCGGGGTGGGTTCTGCTCCTGGTGTGGGAGGGCCGGGGTGTGCTGTGGCGGCGGGGTGTGCTCGGGGTGGTGGCGAGGGGCGGACAGATCTGATCTGGATCGGGGTGTCTCCTCCGACTGCTGGCGGCGCGGGCTGGTCGCCGGCAGATGGTGGTGGTGGTGCGGGCTGGAGGCCGGAGTCGGCGGCCGCGGCGGCTTTTCCGGATCTGGCCTCTCGGCGGCGCGGGCCGCGACGGCTAGGGCTGCGGGCGGCGGCCCTGACCAAGGCCCCCTCGGCTGGTCGGGGTGGCGGCGCAGTGGCGGTGGCTCCGGTGGTGCGTGCCCGGCGGCTCCGGCTCTTGGAGCTTGCCGGGCGACGCGGTTGGGCAGCGGCCGGGCGTGGCAGCTGCTCCGGCCGTGGGCGGCGGCATGGGCAGGTCTCGATGGCCTCCCGGTGTCGTGGCGGCTTCACGGTGGCTCGATGGATCTGTCCGCGGCAACGGCCGGCTTCTCCGGCGTCGGTTTGTCTGCGTTCGGGCCGTCTCGACCTTCACCCCATCTCCTCGTCGCCCGGTCGCTGCTCCCATCAAAGGGCTGGTCCTCTCCCAGCTGCGGTCCACCGCTCGTCTCGCGCCCGTTGCCGCAGGACAGAGCTCGTCTCGCGCACGATGCAGCAGGACCGAGCTCGTCTCGCGCACGATGCAGCAGGACTGACCTCGTCCCCCTCTCGTTGCTGCAGGACCGAGCTCATCTCGCGCTTGGGGCAGCAGGTTGGGTCGGTGGATGCCAGTTCTGGCCGACCTATTGGGTCTCGACGCTGGGGGTCGCCCAGGGGCGCGAAAGGTGGGACCTTTCCGCTTGTCTCTTTCGTTGGGGTGCGACGGGTCACTAGTGAGGTGGTGTCGAGGTCTTGGATGCTGGGGCGGCGGTCCTGGTGATGGTGGTTGCGCGGTGCTCTTGGACAAAGCCCGTGCCTTGGTGCTGCCCGGTCATCATGGTCGTGTGGGCGGCGTGGTTGCCGGGGTGTGGCGTTCGGTGGCGATGATTGTTGGCCGAGGTGAAAACCTGCTCTATCTTCGGACGGACCGGCGGCGACGAAGATCGTTCCCTTCTTGAAGGCGTCGTCGCGGCTCTCATTGCCCGTCATGCGGCTTCGGGGGAAACTCTGATCCTTGGATCGGGCGGTGGCGGCGCTCCGGCGTCGTATCCTTCCTGAAGGCACCGCCTTGGAGCGCATGGTTCGTCATATGTAGCTTCATTTCTTCAGGACGGTAGTGCTAGGAGGGGTGTTGCTGCGCTCAGCGCCTATATATCCTGTCTTGGGTGGGTGCGTGTGTTGCGGTGGCGTGGCGTGTGGTTGTACTGGATGCTTGTGGTTTGGTGCTTTATATATAAAGCGGGACGAAAGCCTTTTTCGGTATTAAGGAATGACACATGCTAGTTTATTCCTGTGATGGCATATGCTTGTTGAAATCAAACCTTCTGTTTTAAATTCCTAGGGGGGAAATGCCATCCTTGCAAGCACTCGTGAATTATTTCCAGCAAATATAACAGTGAGTTCCCTTTTTTCAGTGACATCATCATTAAATGGTATTTCGGAGAAACTAGGACAAAAGGAAGGAGGTGCAGCAATGACATTTGATCATATAACAAGAGTTCTAGAGGATTTACGGTGTACTACTACCAGTGAAGATCCGAAAGAATTTACTTTTGGTAAGATGCTGTTGATATTTTTACTCTGCATAAGTCCGATACATGGTAAAATGCTTGACGTGGAGTCCAGTTCTAGCTTGCAAGAAATGAACTGTTATAGTTCGGAAGTCAAACCTTGCCACTACGCGATGGGTGCCACAAGGAAACTGCTTCCAGTCCAGTCCAATTCCTGGATTGAATTCTGGTGCCTTAATGTATCAGTTATATTTGAATTTGGATATTATCATGTGAAGCAGTCCACACTCCGCACTTCAGATAACGAAACATGTTGATTAGTCTATACATGAAAAAGTACTATAACCATGACATCTTCCATTGTTTTCGTAATTAGTTCGAGCTTAGTTACCATTAGGTTGCTGCTACTGACGGCCTTATATTTCATGACTTGTGCTATATGCAGTGACAACACAATATTCAACCGAAGTGTGAAAAACAACTCTAAAAAATACCTGGAAATGATGTCGTAGAAACTTACTTTTCTGGTTACTTGTCTTCCATTCTAAACTCTGGATGTTCAAATTTAGCATGCTGACCTTGAGTTAACATCATTTTGTAAGATTCAGAAACACTTGATGTTCAAATTTAGTTTGTCACCTTTGAGTGTACATCATAAGTTCTTTTTGTAAGGTTCTCATGACAGTGGTACTGTTTTTCTGTAGATTTACGCAAAATGGTTGAAGCATGTAGAAATGAGGAGGTACCAGATTATGTTACTGTTTCACAGTTTATTTGAGTTAAAAGACACTCCCCCTATCCTTTATGTACTAACAGTTCACATGAACATATCTTTTTATTGTGTGCATTATAGATCGAGTCGCTTGTGAAAAAGAAATATGGGCAAGAAGCTTTTACAATCTTTAGGCTATTGGTCACACAAGGTTGTGCAGTTGAAACAGATCAAGTAAGTACTCTTGTACATTGAGGACATTCTAGGACTATGCTCTGTTATTGTTGTCAATCCCTTTGGGTTAAGAAAGCTTCTGTTATGCATTAAATTTAGTTGTGTGATCCTGTTTTACGAATTTTTTATTTGACGACATGGCTTCCTGTTGCAAATTGCACTGCACAGTACTAAACTTTGATTGCAAATGTGCAGATTATTGACATGACAATTCTTGACAAGCAGATTGTTCATTCAACTTTGTACAAACTATGGAATGATGGGTACATAGATACAGAGGTCTGTCTCCTAGTTCCATCAAAAAGCAGTATTTTTGTTTGGAGGGCAGAGAGAATAACAATGATAAACCTCCTTCCTTTAAATGTTATTTGTGCGGTTTATCTGAAAGATAACTTCACTGCTTTGATGATCTACTATTTTACTATACCAGGCAGGTGGCCCGTAATAGCTTTACAACATCATGTACTTATGATATATTGCATTACTTCCATCATAAATCTGCATACATGTATAGACATTTATGCAATTTTACAAGGCTATTTGACCATTTGGGACAAAGCTTGTAAACAAACTTGATAAATTAGTTAATACAGGAGGAAGTGTCTAAAGGTTTCTTGACACATTAAGTACTTCAACGCAAATAGCATCCAGTTATATGTACTAGAGGAATCCCTAGTTATGTGAATGGTGCTCAAACACCTTAACCACACTATTTAACTTAGAAGTTTTGCAACTGGTAATACCACAAAAGTGTAGAACTTCTTGCACCCATAAGTTACATCAGCTTAAGAGCGTATCTAGCAGCTTCTGTAAACACTCAATTCCTTCAAATGGTTTTAGGGAATGTCTGTAAGATTCCTTATAAATCCATTCCTTTCTAAAAATATCTCTTCCATTCCTTACAAACTTGTTGGGAGCCCGCCATGGTGTGTCCTGCGCTGGCGTCTGATGGCAGCCTGCAGGGAGGCTTGGACGGGGCCCGGAACATGCACGGGGGGAGGAGCTGGCCGGGGGACTTTGATTCGTACTCCCCGAGGCCAGCGTTGAGTCTTGGATGGGGCCGGGACGTGCGCGGTGGAGGCTGGAGCTACCTACATCGGCGGCAGGACGAATCGGGAGTGGCGTGGGCGAGTGTGGGAGGGGAACAGTGGTTCGCGCGAGGGTGATGGGTAGGATACAGAACACATAATTTGTTATGTAAATTTGCAGAAAAAAATCGAGTCTTAGGGAAGATCCTTAAGAAAATTAAGGATAAAGAATATGATAGGGGAAGGAGAGCCTTGGCGCAGTAGTAAAGCTGTTGCCTTGTGACCATGAGGTCAAGGGTTTGAGTCCTGGAAACAACTTCTTGCAGAAATGTAGGGAAAAACTACGTACAAAAGACCCAAAGTGGTCGGACCCTTCCCCGGACCCTGCGCAAGCGGGAGCTACATGCACTGGGCTGCCCTTTTTAAAAGAATTGGATAGGGAATCTGGTAGAGTGTGTATTTTCCTTGTAGTTGCAAATTCGAAGGATGGATGGGTTATAAGGAATCTTCTAGGGAGTCTCTAATGCTGCATTTGCATAGTTGGAACTATGCATAAATAATGCATGTGAAAGTGATTTTATTGGACCGCCACAGGAGAAAATTGCTGGAAATAGGAAGTTGGATGCATCTGCTACTGCTGTTTTTGTGTTTCTGTTTTACTCCAAATAAATGTTTACGTCAGATGCTAGACAAAATGACATGTTTTTAAGTCACATAGAACAGTATCCTTGCTCCAGACAAGTGACTCATGGCAGAGTTATCGTCTGACACAATTTTCCTACAGCAAATTTCAAGTTTCAGTTTCTTTCCTGAAGCAATAGTTCAGAACTTTCACACTACTGCAGCTCTGCTACCTCAGTTTCAAGCTAACCTAAAAGAATTGACTACTCTTATGCTTAAAGCTAGGAGAGCTTGTGTAGTAAATTACAGGATATCTATATGCATGGTATATTGCTATACTGCAAGTTCATAAGCAACAAAAATATGCCTCATTTTATGCTTCTGTTCACAATAATCCATTATGTTTACAGAAAATCGCTTCGGCAGCAGGAACAGGGTACGCACAGTTTTTTGTATGGAGAGCCAGAAATACATTTCATGAACAGTTCATCGATAATCTCTACCATGCTGCTTTGAACTTGCGCCAGATGGTGAATTACATTGCTGAACTTCTACTCGAGGTTATCATCTCACCATTACAGTTTCTTAGCTGCCAGATGATTTTTCTGAACAAAACATTATTTATTAGTTTTACATATCATGAATTCATGATGCACGTCAGGATTGGTTGCTCTATGCCCCATATGTTTATGATCATAGTCCATACATGAATATATAGTGTATTTGTGCCATATCATAGTTGCAATTCAGTATGTTTGTTTCTTTAACGAGTCACAAATGATGTGCAATGTGCATTCGTCGTAACAAGAATAATGTATGTCTGCAATATGGGATTTTGCAGGAACATGGCCTAGTTGCCACCATGCCATCTTACTAAATGAATTTTTACCATGTTGAAACTATTTTGCTGGCTTGAAGCAGATTTTACTTGTACAGATGTGTGTAACCTCACCTCAACTCACGAATTGTTTAAATATCATGTGTTGCAGGGTTCGAAGGACGAAACGAAGCTGCGGAACAGAAAGAACATTTTGGTCCTAGCTCTCACTAGACATGATGACTCTCTCATGCTGTTCCATGATTTTTGAAAACACTGGAGCTGGGTGTTACGGTATATATAAATGTAAAAAGGAAAACAGACTGAAGTTGGGCGACTGAGTTAATGTATCTTAGGTGATAAGTATATTTTTCTTCGTTATGGCATTTTGGTGATGTCTACAATACTACCCTAGTCCAGCACGTTCCATCTCTCCTTGCTTGTCTGGTTTCTTATATGCAAACTCCACATGCAATAATTTCTTCTTCCTTCGCCAAGATTGTGTTGGAAAATTCTAGTTCAATGGCTACATTTTGGTAATGTCCAGCATGCAATTGATCTGGTGTTGATTTTCCACTTGTATGTCACGCCATCTTTGTGACCTGTGAAAGTTTCAAGTGGTTGTGCCTTTTTGCGGCTTGACGAAGGCACGCACTCTCTTCACTTGGTCCCGTCTCCCGTGTCACTTCCACCGCCTCGTTGGACAACGCCATCCGAGCTTCTAGGCCCGTGATGGCCTCCATGTTAGAAACGTAGCGGTTGGGGCCGATAGCGATCCTTAACCTCTATGCATATGGACGTCAGACAATGCCCACAACTCGGTGATTCTGTGATCGCCCACATTGGCAGGAGGTGCGGGATCCCGCTCAAAACCAAGACCGCGGGCTCCAAGAATAGGGTTGGTGCTGGCCCTAGGGCAGTGAGGGGGCTAGAAGAAGGTTCCACAAATGGGGCGGGTGGATGAACCGGGATCTTGATAGGTACGAGTGTGAGCTCCACAAATGGGTGGCACCAAGCGGCGGGAACAGGCACGGCCTCCGGCACGGCTTCGACGGAATTTGCCATTGGTAGTTAGTGTGGTCAAGTGAGAGCAGGGTAAGAGCTTACGAGGCAACACTGGTGAAGGAAGGATACTATTGGTTTGTCATCGATCTCGCGCGATTGATGCGCTTTGCAACGAACCACCGTATAACACCACATGCCAATATTTAAGGGAACATATACATCATCACATGAACGCGTGTGCATTTGGAGCCGGCCAGACAATGCGTCCAAGTTATCTATATCTCTACTACGTACAAGATACTAAGCAGCACGTTGCCCGCCAACCAAAGATGAATAACCACTTGGAAGGACGACAAGGATAAAATAGGATACAAAAAGTAATTAACAATGTACATATATACATACATACACATAAGGATGTAAACATTTCATTTTTCCAACTTAGTGAGAATACTTATGGCAATACGAAACATAAGGCAATTTACAGACAAAACAACAGGCCAATGTTTGAAGGAGTTGGGGTTTTCCGTGTTTACTACCCACGCAGAGGAGACCAAATGTGCGGCTAGGCCGCTAGGGTTTAGAATTTATTTGACTAAACCTGGAATGAGCAATACAATATCACGGTAATCTGATGGCACACTGTCCTGTGACGAAAAAGGGCGATGCAGGTTAATTTGTATTTTTTTTTGCAGGAAAACTTTGGATTTATTCATCTTCAATCATGGTGGCATACTATCAGCCTTTTTGTGTTTTACAGTTATCTGCTACCTGAATTACAGTTAATTTCACCTTTGTATTTTTTAGTCACGCACCTAAATTAGTGGTAGTTATTTGGTTTTTTTTAGAAAGCTTGATGTTATCTCGATGTCTCCATTGTTTCTGTTCAGGGTGTGCAGGAACTCCTTGGAGTAATTTTTGAACCATAGCCATTCATTGTTACTGTGTATTTTTCTAAACTATTTACATTGTAAACAAAGATGTAGTTCACAAGCTAGGATACAGTAACTTTTGAAGCATAGCCATTTATTATTACAGTGTATTTCTGAACTATTTACAGTGTAAACAAAGTTGTAATTCACAAGATAGGATACATTAATTTTTAAACCATAGCCATTCATTGTTACAGTGTATTTCTGAACTATTTATACGTCAACAAAAATGTATAATTCACAAGCTAGGATACAATAATTTTTGAACCATAGCTATTCATTGTTATAGTGTATTTCCGAACTATTTACAGTGTCAACAAAGATGTAATTTACAAGGTAGGATACAATAATTCTTTTGAACATAGCTATTCATTGTTATAGTGTATTTCCAAACTATTTACAGTGTCAATAAAGATATAATTTAAAAGTTAGGATACAATATTTTTTTGAACATAGTCATACAATGTCACAGCATGTCTGAACTTTTAGCAATGATTGAGTAAACTTTTGACAGTGCTTTTTCTATATATTTTGATAGTAATTATCATGCACAACTATAGTAAATTTGAACCATAGATCTAGGTGTCTTTACCAGTCAAGACTTTACAATTTTAACTGATTGCTTGTGACAGTAACTAGGAGGTGTTTTTCATGTAGATTGACAACTGTCTTATTTTTTATTTTTTTACAGTATCCTGGTTTCCAATGCTAGGTGTAATGTAAGTATGTAACAAATGCTTCAGTGTGTTTCTGCTCCTTAACTGTTAAAGTTGCTGCAGTTCACAGTATGTACAGATCGATCTAAATTTACAGTGGCAATAAAGCACATTTACAGTGTGTTTCAAACATCTAGGCTAGCCGACACATTATGCTCATTAACTAGGCTAGCCGACACATTATGCTCATTAAACGATCTAGCAACAACATATGCATTATTTGCATCTACGTAAGTGAATCGGGTATTCATATTACCTTTGTAGATTGCAAACCCTGGATGACGATCTCTTCGTAGCAAGAAGGGCTGGAGATCGTTCAAAGCTTCATCCCCAGCGGGGTCGCCATAAAGTGTGTTCACACACAAACACGTCATCGTGTACTTCCAATGCCGAGGGTGGTGCACCGCAGCTCACGTCAAAGGAGATCCGTCCGAAAGCGTGGTACGCAAGCAATCCGCCGGGCGCTATTGATGACCCGAAACCCCACACGCCCGGGAGGGACCCCGTCAGGGTACGCGGTGCGGCTATGGGCTGCTCTAGGTCGACCTGGCCGCCGCTAGAGCCTCGTGGTTCGCCGCCCTACAACAAGAAGAACAGACGAAAAACAAGGAAGAACAAGAACTAGGGTTAAGGAGAAAAGGTAAAAGATAAAAAGTGGTAGATGATTTAATCGATTGTGTGTTGTTCAATTGGCCATCACCCTTAGGTATATAAGAGGCGGATGGACTTCCCGTACAAGAAAAGGACTCTAAATCACGTCCAAATCTTTCCAAAATTAACCGAACTCGGATTTAGGTAAGTCTGGAACATCAGTTCGGTTTTTAGGTCCCACAGGGCACAGACGACCTCGGATGGAGATGAGCCCAAGAGTAAATTTTACCGTTTCGACGAGAAGAATAACTTTTGTGTTGAATGTTTTTCGATTATAAACAATCTTGAGCGCCGAATCTCTCACGCAAAACAGCCGATTGGTGGCGCTACCTATCAGACACGTGTCTGGTGGGGCGCGCCATATTTCTCCTCCTGACAGGCCTGCATTCCGATGGCTCTAACTTTTGCATACGAACTCGAATTGGAACGATTTTTATATAAAAATCAACCATTCTTATGAGACGCACAACTTTCGTGTTGAAACGTTTTCCATCAGAGGCCATCTTAATTGAGTTTTATGCCATTCTTTAATCTAGTGTCAACATGAGCATCTCTGAACTTGTCATAACTATTGCATAAGAGCTCCGTTTTAGACCATGTTCATATCCATTTTGATCTTCTTAGAGAGAGCCATCCGGAGGTGACCTCCAATCATAAGTTTAAATTAGTCTTGATGTAACTTAAAGCTACTCTCTATGATTGTGCCACTTTTGAGCGTCAACAGTAGTCTTTCCTTTGAGATCATTGATCACACCCACTGCTTATATTGGCACCGCCGGTGCTATAATCTCCACCACATCCTCAGCCTCTTCCACCTTTGTCATCTGCCTTGGCCAACCAAGCTCAAGAGGAACTTTCCTCCTATGGAAGGCTCTTGCCCCATATTATGGGCGCCTAGATGGACCACTTCCTCAACCCCGAGAGCCCGGCATCACCGGCCATCATTACCGTCACCACAGATAGGAAGAGGAGATGGAGTTCGTCTACGTCGCACGCTCCCAATGGCTTGCTCATCAGCAGCAGGTCCTCGGCTACCTGATGAGGTCGTTCTCCCGTGAAATCATGCGCATGGGTCGTCACTCTTCAGTCCCCAACCGAGGTATGGAGTTTCATCAACAAAATGTGCGCCTCACAAACGGCAACCCAATTTTTCAATGTCAGAATTGCTCTCACTAATATGCAAAAGAGCAATCTCAGCATGAGGTAATTCCAGCAGGAAGCACTAAATGAGCAAGTGAAGAACATATGGAAGGATGTTTCAAGCACATCCGTGGGGCACAAGAGACATGAGTGATCCTCGCCAATATCAAAATGCCTTCAACCAACATTAACCAGGCAAAAACCTTGTGTCTCATCATGCACTTGGACTTCTAGATACTAGTTATATAGGCAGGAGCGATGATATCTTTGAAACAGAAAGCAACTTCTTGTCTTGAAAAGCACATCTCGCAGACACATGATCCAATAATCAGAAACTAGAGGATCAAGAACCAGATCATTAACCAAAACATTCAAGTTGTCCAACTCATCTCTGGACTGAATGGATAAAGGTAGATGGAAGTTATCCCAGGGACTTGGATTTGCAGTAAATTGTGCCACAGAGCCATCTTCCTTGAAAGTAAAAGAAAACAAATGGGGGCAAAGTGGCTTGAAAAAACAACTTCTTGTCTTTCAGTTACACGGCATACAAGTCAAATGAGACGTACATAGCGCACACTTCTTTCAGTTACAGAGCAGCATATAAATCAAATGAGACGTACATCCATCGGTCAATCTAGTTTCTCAAAGAGCATCCAGAATCATCAAGCATCACAATACATAATCTATACTAAGAAGAGATTTAGCTCAGCCTAGCAGCACTTCAATTTGGGGTGTCAGAAGTCGAACAGCAGTCCAGGACGGCAAGTTTCTCCTCGTTGCTCCAGGTGCTTTGCTTGCTCACCATCTCCCAGTCCCAGGGGCCCCCCTTGTCCTCGACATGACCATGCTTGAACACCGCAACACGGCGCAGCGCCGTCGAAGTATCCACGGCGAACCTCACGAGGTACATTAGCTGATGATGTATCCTGCTCGTGTTCTGAAAGCCAACAACCACCAGCTCCTTCAAATGGCGGTGGCGCTGCCAAGAAGATGATGATGATGGCTGCTGCATCTGCAAGTAGGAGGAGATATTCTGACGACCTGGCTCCTCCTCATGTTGGCACTGGGACTGGGACTGGGACTGGGAAACATGAACATGAAGACTCTCCAGCAGTGGTGCTGCCTGGATGAGGATGCGCGGCCATGAGACATCCCAGGAGGATGGCACATCCGCAACAAGCAGCTTCTTCATATTGGGCATCAGAGAAAACTGATTCTTCAGATTGGGCAGAATCCACATCTCTGGCCCAGTAAAGCGCAGAATGAGATTCCTCAAGCTGATGGCCGCGTCTTTCAACGAGAGCATGAACAACGCAATCAAGTGGTTCACAATGGAGTGGTTGTCCAGTGGTCCAATGGAGAAGACGAGGCTCACATGCGCAAGGCAAGGGACGTCGGCGTCGGAGCACAACAGAACCCTGGCATCCACGGCAGTGAGGCTCTCGAGCTTGGGGAGAGAGCGGAGCTTGACCGTCATCAACGGGCCGTCAGCGACAAGCTCTCTGATTTCTGACATGGGCGCGTCGAACACCACCCAACTGGCTGTATCCTTGTCGAAGGAGCAGGAGACGAGATGCAGAACCCGCAGCTGCGGGCACGCGGCGACCACGCCCTCGTAGACGGCCGCAGGTGTGGAGCAGGGCAGATCCCGCAGCAGGAGCGTGGTGAGCGCGGTGAACCCCTCCAGCGGCGGGGGCAGGCAGTTGACGAGCTTGAGGCTTCGGAGGCGGGACTCCCCGGGCTTCCTGCTGATGCGACCACGGGGGAACGTGTAGACCGGACGAAGATGTGTGATCGGCTCCGTCGACTTGGCGACGACCTCGAGGTCCTCAACACCCCAGGAATCTACGGCGTCCACGACCAAGCGGTTGATGGCGGCGGAGGTGCTGAACGCGAAGAACTCGAGCGACAGCCTGCTGCACGCACGCCGGTGGCGGCGGGCTCTGAGGCTCCTGACGGAGCTGACCATGGCGCGCATGGCGCGGCGCTCGTACCGTCCGACGATGGGGCGCAGCCTCCGGCTACACCCGCGTAGCTCGTCCGATGTGACTGCCTCGTTGAGGAGGTCGAGCCACCGCCGGTAGTGCGGCGGGAGTGCGTCGGTGACCTTGAGATCCAGGGCGGGGAGCTCGCGAGGGAGGTGGGCCCAGCGCCTGCAGAGCGCGGCGGCGCCAAGCGCGCTGCGGGTGTCGAGACGGCCCAGGATCTGGAGGATCAGGTCGTCGGAGAGGGCATTAAGGCGGTCCTCATCGCGCGGCCGCCGGAGGGGGAGCCCGCGCCGGCGAGAAGACGGATCCTTTCTAGCCATCGCTCTCCTCGGAGGAAATTTGGTGTGGCGCGACTGGATGGAGGATCGGCCGAGTGGAAATATAGTGGCGATTGTCCGATGTTTGTCGGAATCGCGGGCTCTGAATGGGGATCGAAGACGGAGAGACCGCGTGGGGGCGCTGGGGAAAGCTGCCTAGCGCGCGCGAGAGAGAGGGGCTAATTTTCGAAGCAAAACGCGCCGTTTCTTTTCTTCTTCGGTATATTCATTTCGAAAAGGCTGAAAATCTGACGACAGACTTTTAGCATCTAGGAACGCACTTTCAACCATGTATCTTTTTGAACAAATCTCTAGGAAAGTCTGTTGGAAGGGAGAGAGGGATTTGGTGGAATAGTTGTTGTATTGCTTGAGCCTCGTGGGCATATATATAGGAGTACAATGATCTACTTTGAGTATAAGACAAGCCAGAACAAATCCTAGTCTATCTCGTCTTTCCTAATAAACATTATACTCAACATCCCCCGCAGTCACAACAGTAGCGACGCAGACGGTGAGACTGGAGAAGAATCCGAAGGCAAGCCGACGGACACCCCCCACAGTCGTAACGGCCGACGCATCGCGGAGTCGTGGCTGGAGTGGCAACCGACAAGGTTGCTCAAGCAAGGCGATAGCCCTTTGTGCCATTTGTCGAGGTAGCTGAGAGCGTGGGTGGTGGAGCCGTGGTCGAGGTAGCCGTGCGAAGAATGCCGTGGTCGATGTCGAGTCAGGGTGGCCGGTGTCGAGGAAGTTGCCGTGGAGCCGCGGGCGCAAGGGGACGCCGAGTTAGCATGGGCGCAGTGGTGTCGAAGTAGGGGTGCGCCAGGAAGATGATGTTGTTGACGGCGCGTCGCGGCGGGTTTGCCAAGCCCGGGGACACGTCGTGGACGAAGGCACGGACCGGTGTTGCCAGCACCGGGCATGCGTAGACGGACGAAGACGAAGTTGACGAAGCGCCACACCAGGCTTGCCAGGCCTAGGGACACATCGTGGATGAATGCACGCGGCGGTGTTGCCAGCACCGGGCATGCGAAGACTGGGACCTACACGAGCTGTACGCCATGTCAAAGAAGTCGGAGAGGCCAGCAGAGAAGAACTCGACGACAATTGCGGCGTCCATCGGCGCGGGGCCGATATCACCAACGGTGGTCGGGATAGATGACGGCGACACTGGCGACGGGCTGGTGCTTGGACGAAGACGAAGGGCGTGGACGGGCGGCGGCGGCGGCTACGAAGGTAGTGGCGGCGGCCAAAGAAGAGCGGCGGCGGCGGCTAGGTTAGGAGTGCGGCGGCGGTGCTCGATGTAGGGGAAGAACCCTGATAGCGTGACGAAGACCGGCGCGGACGGTAGCGTTCCCGCGCCAAGGGAGACGGCGCGGCGCATACCACGGGAGGTCGACGCGCGCGGACGGCGCGGTGGACCGTGGGCCGCGGCGCTACGGCCCAAAGGGGCGACGCGGCGGCGGCAGGCGGGTCGGAGCGACGGCGGGAAGACCTCTGGGCGGTGGCCGGGACAGCGGGCCGCAATGTTGCAGCCCAAAGGGACGACACAACGGCGGTTCGCGAGTCGGTGCAACCGCGGGGACGGCCTCGGGACGACGGCGTGGACCGCGTGCCACGCTCGCTACGGCCCGACGGGGCGACGCAGCGGCGGCGCGAGGGGCGTGGCAGGCACGGGACGGCCTAGAGCGACGCCCTCGGGGTAGCGGGGGACCGCGGACCGTGGCACTACGACCCAAAGGTGCGACGCAGCGGTGACGCGGGTCGGTGCAGTCGGGAGAAGAACCATGGGGCGGCGGCGCTGCGGCCCGACGGGGCGACGCAGCGGCAACCCGATGCTCGATCGGTGGAAAGGCGCGCTGAACTCGGGGACGATCTTCACGGCACCTGCGGAGGCGCGCGTAACCAACGGGCCAGGTCGGTCGCGCGGCATAGATGAGGCGGATCGCGGCGGTGAGCGGGTGATCAAGCCGATCGCGCGCGAGGTCGTGGACGCCGTTCGGTGGAGACGGGGTGGTGGCGGAGTCCGAGATGAAGCCGGCGACGGTGGGCGATAGGGCGGCTATGATTGGCCGCCGCTTGGCGCGAGGTCGCCGGGTCGGGTGATGCAGGAGTCCCGGTTGGAGCAAGGTGGTGACGGCCGGTGCAGGGCGACGGGCGGGCCAGCGCGCGGACGACGACCTTGGGGGCTGCCTGTCACGCGAGGCCGCCGGATCGGTGAAGTAGCCGGCCGGTCGCGCCGATGTCGGAGTAGAGGCGCGAGGTGTCGACGGCGACGGCGGGCGACAAACCGATCTTAGATCGGAAAACTAAAAAGTAAACGCCGATCAAAACGACCGGCGAGAGAGCGAAAAAACCCGAAGCAAGGGCTCACGAAAAAGACTCTCTAGGACAGCCGGCCAACACGGCCGGCGGACAAACCCTAGGCACGGGCGGTGCGGCCCCCGGCGGCGGTCATGAAGGCCGACCGCCCCGGGGGCGGCGCGCAGGTGCGGAAGCGACGACGGCTAGGGTTTAGGATCGACTTGCGATAGATACCATGTTGGAAGGGAGAGATGGATTTGATGCAATAGTTGTTGTATTGCTTGTGCCTGGTGGGCATATATATAGAAGTACAATGATCTACTTAAAGTATAAGACAAGTGTCACGACCCAAGCACATACATGGGGTGAGCAATCAGATCAGTACCGATTTCGGATACAAGAGAAGAGATTTGAGGTGAGAATCAGCAACAAGAGGGAGATACAGATAGCAGGGAGGTGAGGAACAGGAGCAAAAGGATGAGAGGCTTCAGACGTTTCAATCATTCGCCCCGTCTCCTGTGACGCGCGCCTCTTTATATAGCATTGCTCCAGATCCTTGCCACTAGGCCCAGCCCAAGTTCCACGACCCATTTTCCAGGGCAGTCCCACAAAGAGGGCATGACCTCTGGGGCATGACATTCTCGCCCCCTTAAAATGCGGCTTGTCCTCAAGCCGGTGATGTGAACCACCCGGATCCCATGGTACTAGCAGCTCAATGAGAAGTTCAATAATGTCGACGAAGCGGACACCACCCGGGTCCCATGGAGATTGTCTCTCGGGTACTCCTACGAGCTTAACAACCTGTTGCTGCAGAAATGGGTTTGGCCAGTCGACCCGAAAGATGTGATGCCAACTACTCCAAGCGATATTAAAGTTGTCACGCTTCAGCTGCGCAGAGATCACTGCCATATCCGATGGAAAAATTGGGTTGTTTTCTCCGTCCCTCGGGTCAAGATAACATGATGTGCATACATATTCCGAGTAGTCTGAGCAAGCTGGGTGACCATGCAGGTTCTGAGTATGTAACATAATTCCTCCCTGAACACCAATGGAATGTGGTAGGAGCAGAGTATACTTGACAACTATGAAACTCCCTAGTGTGCAACTGTTTTCAACCAAAACTGCTAGAAAAATATTCGTGTTTGAATTTATCTCAAACATATGCCACTTCGTGAGCGTCCACCTAGGGCTGGGTTCAGGCAACATGTACAATGCTTTCCGAGATTGGAATATTGTTCCATCACTCAGAACATCAAAAACAGCAAGAATATAATAACCAACCACTTTGCTTACTTTCTTATCAGTTGTAGTCACCCTTCTTGACATTTTGTCCTCCAATAAACACCATAATGTGGTGAGATCAAACTCTCCAATGATGCCAAGGAGCCATACAACCAGATAAAAACACCCACTGTCAACTTGCATAACTTCCATCGTGAAATATAGCGTTGTACACCACTAGGGCAAATGATATGGCAAAGCTCCTCTATTCTCGTGCAGATGTATATATCCAATGGATACACCACTAATTTTAAGAAGAACCTGTTGTAACTTATGGTCTCCTGGATCAAAAGGCAACTCCAGATCCATAGGAAAATATTTATAACCGAAAAGATAGCCACCCGGAGTGGAGAACTGAAGTTCCACCACCGGTAGCTTGAGCCACTTCAGTGAAAGATAAACATTAGCTTCACCACCAAAAGATATATTTCCATCAAGCTGTATGTGCCACATCTTGTAACTGAGTCTTGCCGTGTGACATAGAGAGTATATCTCTTGAGCTGTAAGCCCCCAAGACACTACGGTTGCACATTTTGTTTGCAGAACTGGCTTAGAATCAAAGGCATGGACACTAGCATGGTTTAATTCTGGAACAGAGCTCGCGAGAATACAGCAGGGGTAAGCATCCATTTTCAGTTTACCAAGATTATGCGCATGAACAATAAAGGGATTCTTCAACTGCCCTTGGACTGTAATGCTTAAAATTCCATTATCCAACTGAATAACATTGAGTGTCCTGAGAGCTTCAGGCTGCATAGTAACTGGAACATAGAGTGTTCTAAGAGCTTCAGGGATCCTAGTATCCATCTGTTTTGCAGATCCCAAATGCAAAGTAGCATGACCAATAGCATGAGCTTGATGTACAAATTTAAAATCAGACCACCAATCAATGTGGTGCAGCACGCTCGCTTTAGTTGCAGAAAATAGTGTGGAAAATTCATTTTGAAGAGACCACCAATATAAAGGCATGCCTTCACAGCGACCACTGGTTTTCCATGAGGAATTATGAACAATGGCACTGTCTACCTTATACGAAGACTGCATCGACTTATAGCAAAGAACATCTGTAGCACTGAACCGCCACGTAAACACAGAAGATGCAATGATTTTACTGCAAGTTGGCTTTTCCCACACTGTGCTGTGGGCAAAAATAGTTGAAGGGCGATAGGCTTCGCTAAAGAGTTCCACTTCTGCTCTGCATAATATTAGGGCCTGATTAGCTGCTGCACAAATATGCAAATGCTTCTCTTCGATGGATTTCCCCAAGATACAACAAGGTACATATTGTGCTCTCCATAGACATCCATCCACCTGGCACTCTGTCATTAGTGAACTAGGTGCAGCTTCACTGAACAATATGTTCAGAATTGAACTAACACCCAAGACTTGCAAAGGGAGTCCAGTGTTGTGTTGTCCAGCAG